TTTATAATTTATTAGTTCATAGATATAGTATTTTCCCTTGTATCCATCCATATCTTCAAATTTTAGATACTGTAATATTCCAAGTTTTGTTTTACTTTTACCATTTACCCCTCACCATTCCCCAACCAAGTCAGCAAAGTTCCCCAGGGTACTTACCCAGGTTTTTCAGTTTTAAGTGAAACTCCTTGCTGAACACACCTATAAGTCTCTATTTTTATTCGTCTAATTTTATTTACTTATTTATTTATTTTTTGGTTTTATTTTTTCTTTTCTTTCTCCACATCCCTTTATGTCCATTATTTCATATTGTATCCCTTTTCCTTTTCTTTCTATCTCTCCTGTAGATCCGTAAGAGTATATTCACAATTGCATATATAATATTATATATAATACTACAACAATTTACTTTAGTTCAGGACCTTGTTAATTAGCTTACTCTGTTTATACAACTTATTGTTCTTAATATTTTAATTGTACTTACTGTTTATAATTTTAATAAGTTCACTCACATTGTTATAATTTTTTATCTAAATGTGATAAAACTTTCACAATTCTCTATATCTTTTTGTATCTTGTCTGTTCTAGCCCTGATGAAGACCAGCAAAGTCGGGTCGAAATGTTGGCTTTTAATAAAATAGTTTTGCCACTATTTAGTCTATTTATGAGCACCACCCCAGACCATCTCCTTTCTTAATAAGTTTATTTGCTCTTGATTAAATTTTGTGAAATATTTTTATTTCCTTAAGGAACAATATTAAGTTTTTAATAGCATTGAGGTTCTTTGGAGTGATTATTCAAGGCTATTTCTGAAAAGATGTTGATCCCTAAGAGATTGGAATGCATAACATTCGGTCATGATATGGCTCACTATGAGAGGTAGCCCGCAGGAGATACATTGAGTTGGAGAATCTTTTCTGATCAAATACTCATGGGTAAGCTGAGTATGCCCGACCCTCAGCCGGATCAGTACCACTTCTTTCCTTCTGGTCAGCAGGATATTTGGAGCGAGTCCGGACGTAGGGCTTCACAACCCTTAGCTTATTGTCTCTTGTGGCAGACTAAGTTCTTTGCCACGCCAGCCATGATCACTCAGCAAAAAATCACTTTTATGAAGTAGGAAATCAAATTAGTCTAACAGTGTTTTAAATATGGTCTAAGATTTGTTTCGTATTTTCACTGGCGGAATTGTAAACTATACTACCATAATCAAGTTTACTTAAGACGAGGCTTCGGTACAGCATAAGTAAGCTCATTTTGTCAGCTTCCCATGAATGGCATCTGACCGTTCTTAATAAATTCAGTGATTGCACAGGCATTCACTTTTAATTTTTTTTGATGCCCACGTCAGTCAAATACTATTCCTAAATACTTAATGCTGTGATAAAATTCAATCGGCTCTCCGTTCATTTTAATATTGTTTACGTTGGGATTTTTGTGGCTCATGAATAACATTGCTTGGGACATGACCTAATCCAAATTTCATATAATATCCAAACTCCTCCGATCTTACCAAGAACCATAACTTTCCGTAACCTTGATGTCCTTACTCGGAAAAAAATCCTACCCATCCTGCAATCCCTGGATTGGGATAGAATATATTCTGGTTCCTCTATTGATTCCATGGTTGACATCCTCACCTCCAATCTTCTTAATATCCTTGATACCAATGCTCCTCTCAAAATCTCTACCTTCTATAGACGTCCGGCTCCCTGGATGTGTGAGCAAATCAAGGATCTTCAGAGAAGACGTGACGCAGCCCATAGATGCTTTAGACGTATCAGGCTTGCTGACGACTACCAAGTGTTTAGAATTCTCTGTAACCTGATACAAACCAGAATCAGACGAGCCAAATTCACCTATTTTCATGAAGCACTCTTTTCAGCTCCTGATTCCATATCAAAATGGCTACTCCTTCATAAACTCTCCCTCTGCGAACCATCCAGATCACCTTCCTTAGCAGTATTCCCAGTTTCATCTGATGATCTAAATTCCTATTTTATCTCTGCATCCTCTGTCACCACACCATTAACATCCTCCTTTCCTCCGGCTACATCGTTTAATGAAGATGATTTTTCTTTCTTGGATATTTCACCCACAGACCTCATATCTGCTGTGATGAAATCACATTAGAATTTTATTGGTCCAGATGGCATTACTGCCAAATTAATCAAATTATGCCTCCCTGAAATCTTCCTTGTTCTCCTTTTCACTTATAATTTCTCCCTTCAGAACTCTGTGTTTCCTACCCCTTGGAAGAAAGCCATCGTTCATCCCTTAAATAAAAATTCTAACCTTACTTCCCCTAAAGATTTCCGTCCAATCTCAATCCTCTCTAACCTTTTAAAACCCCCGGAAAGAATAGTGCAATCCCAACTGTCCAATTTTCTCGAACAGTCCAGTCAACTTCACCCGCTCCAATCTGGTTTTAGAACAGGTTACTCCACACAATCCGCCCTAATCAAAATCATTAGTGACGCCCAATCTGCTATAGATGACCAAAAACTAACTGCGCTTGTACTCCTAGACTTTTCCAAAGCCTTTGATACCATCAACCATTCCATCCTATTTCCCAAATTAAAATCATTAACCTTTTCTAACAGTTCTATCCTTTGGTTTCAATCTATCCTTTCCCAACGCACCCAAACAGTCGCTATTCCCAATCAACCTTTGTCTTCCTATCTTACTCTTCCTATCTACTTTTTAGTTCCTACATCAACGACCTTCATAAATCCATCCTTCACTGGTCCCATCACCTATATGCCGATGATTCCCAAATTTATTTTTCCTTCTCTCCCTCAGAGTTGCCTGATGCATTTGCCAGAATTCAAGAAGGCCTAAATCGGATCACTGCTTGGGTAAACTTAAATGGATTAAAAAGGAAGGAGATGGTCCGGGGTTGCGGTCATAAAAAGGCTAAATAGTGGTAAAACTATTTAGCCTTTTTATGACCGCAACCCCAGACCATCTCCTTCCTTTATAATGCAACAGTCAACTATTAAATATTCTAAATGGATTAAGATTAAACGCTGCCAAAACTCAAGCCATTGTAATTGGTTTTAAACCACTTCATAGATCCAATACCAACATTCCTATCCTATACCTAAATGACCATCCCATCACCTTCAGCTCCTCAGTAAAAAACCTAGGAATTTTCATAGACCAAACCCTCTCCTGGAATCACCATATTGCTCACATCTCCCGACGGTCAATTGGTACCTTGAAACTATTCCATCGCTTTTATCATCCCCTACCCATAACCACACGTAGACTCCTAGTATCTTCCCTCACCTTGATTACGGCTGAGTGGTGTACGGTGGCCTCTCCGCCGAGTTCTGCCAACTTGTGGACAGACTGAAAACAATTATGAATGCCTTCGTAAGATTTGTCACTAAGGCCCCGAGACGTCTACGTGTTTCTCACCACTATGCTGAGCTAGAGTGGCTCTTCCCTTCCTTCCAAAGGCAATATTCCTATGCACATTCCTTTACCAAATAATCAATAATCATCATCCGTCATACGCATACTATCTCCTACAATTCAAATCATCAATCCACACCCTCTCCACAAGATCAACTCTTTCTGACCTTCACACAGATCTGCCTCATTTAAACATTCCTTTGTTATCCGTTCCACTGTATTCTGGAATACCAAACCACTAAAAATCCATGCACCATCCTTATCCACATTTAAAACCCTCTTCTTCCAATTTCTCTTCACAATTAAATCAGAAGCTGGCTAAGTATATATTATGTAACAAGGTTTTAATTTTCTTTATACATTATTTTTTTTCTTCTATTTTGGGTATGAAACAGAATTTCGATCACCTTTCTCAAATCATTGTGAATAGGTATAATTTTTGTTGTTTTTGTTACCTTCTACCTTTTCTATTCATAAGATTGCTTATATTTTTGAAGTGTATTTTATTTTATTTAAAAGTATTTTACTTTTTACTTATCTTCTACACACTCCTCCATATGTATATATATATATATATTTTTTTTTTTTCCTGCTCATAATCTATTGCATCATAGGTAGATCACAATACTTGTCTGGTTTTCCACAATATCTTAATGTGTTTTCACTTAAACGTCTTAAGGAACATGTATAAATCATTTATTTACTCTATTTTTTTAAAAATATTTTATCACTAAAATTGGTTAGCAATTACAATTTTATTTAGTTATTAGTATGTTTTTGTTTTTTTGTACCAATATTATAATATTGCAACCCTAATATCCATCTGCTTTCCTTAATATACCCTCCAAAACTATGTATATACTCATTTATTACTCAGATTTTAGTTACTCTTTATTGTAATAGGTCATCTCACCAGATTTATTGTCAATTGGTTTGAACACTATTGTTATTCTCAAGGGACCTAGTCCCAGAATAAAGATGTTTTTCTATTTCTATTTCTATTACAAGAAAAAATATTAAGTTTAAAAATGCCTCTTAGTGTTGAGGATGTTACGCGTGGTGTGGCACTTATTGACGATGGACGTTCCATTAGATATACAGTTAATGCCATCGGAGTTCCATATGAAACTTTACGAGACGCCGTCAGGCGTTTCCGGGAAATTGGTTCTTACAATAGAAGGCCCGGTTCTGGATGGCCTAGGGTAACAGAACCACGGGATGACCGGTTTTTGACTTTGAGAATTTTACGAAACCGGCACCTTACCATTGTTCAAGCGATTCATCAGCGCAACCCTAATATCCAACTGCTTTCCTTAATATACCCTCCAAAACTATGTATATACTCATTTTATTACTTAGATTTTAGTTACTCTTTATTGTAATAGGTCATCTGACCAGATTTATTGTCAATTGGTTTGAACAATATTGTTATTCTTAAGGGACCTAGTCTCAGAATAAAGATGTTTTTCTATTTCTATTTCTATTACAAGAAAAAATAAAAATTGGAATAAAAAACATGTTGGCAAAATATAGAAAAGTTCATATGAATTCAATTATATAATTGAGAGTGTAATGAAAAATACCTCATACTGTGTCTAAAGTTGTTATGCAATTTACTCTTTAACTCCTCAATTTTCTGAATAATAGTTGTTTTGTTAGGAATATTTGCAGTGATCAAGTATTCAGAAAAGTAATAACTCTGCCTCAATATTTTCATACCTGCAGCATACAATAGTTGTAAGAAAACATGAACTTCAATATCACCTAGAATTCTCTTAGGTTTTATTACATGTTTATCATTTATTTACAATTGAACAACTATATAATTTATTTTAAAATAGAATAATTTGGATAGTTAAAATAGAAGAGATTATGGTTATTCACATGGGAATCCAAGATTTAATTTTGGGGGGCATATGCCTGAATGCTTCTTTTTTATATACATAACGATAATTACTTTGGAAGAAAAAGAAAGAAACTAACTACCTATATGAAATGATGTTGAAGTGATTCTTTAAGTTCTATTAAACATAGTTACACGAACAATAATACTTTTTGATGTAGTTTTTTAATATTTTTTTCATAAAACAAGGTTATATTTTACCATTGGGAGAGAGGTGGGGAGCTTCAGCCCAAAGCCCTCTCCTCCCCCCCCCCCAAAAGCTGCCTGTAGAGTCATTCAATGTCAATTCAACACGAAGTATCAACACTAACACCTTCGAATTTTCTTGAAATTTGACACAGGTGTACTATTGCTATATAGTGGAAAAACATGAAATATTACTGGCATGAGGTATGTCAATTCGTTTTACATAGCTTTGAACTTCTCATAAATGTGTTAAATACAGGTCAAATCAAGTGTTTGAATAACTACAGAAACCTTCCTATGAAATATAACATTATATAGGTTAAAATAAAGATAATCTCTTAAACCCAACTTCATTTTAAAATTATCTTATTATTTTAAAATAAGAGATAGCATTTATAGTAATTGCCCTTGATAGCCAGTCCGCCACCACGTTCTCTTTCCCTGGCTTGTATACAATATCCGTATTGTATTGGTTCAGAAACCGCTTCCAGCATGTGACTCTAGCCGAGGACTCTTTCAGCTTGCCTGCCCATTGTAGGGGTCTATGGTCAGAAAGCACGCAGAATTTCCTTCCAAACACATAGGGTCTGAAATGGTCGATAGCCCACATGATTCCCAACAGTTCCCTTTCTAGCTCGCTATACCTCGTTTCAGCGTCCGTATGCTGCCTGCTGGCATACACTACAGGGCGATCACCCCCATTTCCTTCTTGGGACAACACGGCCCCCAACGAGTATTCGCTAGCATCCGTTGTGATGGTGAATAATTTCGAAAAATCCGGAAACGCTAATACTGGTTCCTATGCATTTCCGAATGTTGTCCTCTATTATTGGGGTTAATATCACCTTTCTGCCTTTCTTTAATAAATTGTTAAGGGGCAAGAGGTATTCCGCCATTTCGGGCACAAACCTTCTATAATAATTAAGAGTACCCAACAGCCTGCAGATCCCTTTTACGTCCCAAGGTATTGCCATTTTGCTAATTGCCTCCACTTTTTGCGCATCAAGTTTAACTCCCTCACTCGAGATCGTGTGATATAAATAATTTATCTTGTCTTGCCCTAACAGAGACTTCTCATTAGACAATTTCAGTCCAAATTGTCTCACTCTTTCAAATACACTCCGTAGATGCTCCACATTCTCTGCCTCGGTTTTACTGAACACCAACAAGTCGTCCATGTAAATTTGACACATTCCTTCATCAACCCTCTTAGAAACTCGTCCATCAGCCGCTGGAATGTTATAGGGGCATTCTTGAGGCCAAACGGCATTCTAGTAAATTCATAGTGCCCCCTCTCAAATGTGAAAGCTGTCTTTGACTGGTCCTTCGGGAGCATTCTGATTTGGTGATATCCCAATTTAAAGTCCAGAGTGCTAAATACCATTGCCCCGCTCAACCTATCTAAAATGTCCTCAAACTTCAGGATTGGATACTTTCCATCCACGGTATTTTCATTAAGTTTGAGGTAATCAATTACTACCTGGTATTTCTCCTTATTCTCTCCGGGCGCGCTTTTCTTCGTCACTGCCCATAGCGGACTAATGTATGGCGACATGCTATTCACAATTATACCCTGTTACTTTAAACTTTGCAACTCTTCCCTAATGTGTTGCCGAAGAGCCAGGGGATATCTCCTCTCTTTTTACATAACTCACCTTTTCATGCTTCAGCGGGATCTCGTGCACCATTCTACCCGTCACCCCACCTTAAAGAAAATTTTCTTCGAACTTCCTTCTCACGGCTACTCTCCAATCCTCAGGTCGACTTATAGCTCCTATACGCGTCCTACCGTCCTCATTTTTTATTGCCGCCCTGATCGTATACTTGATTTTCCTAATTTTTATTTTCCACTCCTCCCTTCTACTTGCGATTCCACCTTCCCCAACATATCACACCCTATAATTACCTGGTATTCCCGGGGCATTTCTCCCACCATATGCACCGTAAGGTTACCTCGCTTGGCTGCCCACCTCCTCAATTCCATCTCCACTTCCCCTTCCACCCTACACGGGCCACCCAGGGTGATTAACTTACAATTATATACATTGATTTGGAGTGTTCTCTCTCCACCATACAGCTTTTCCAACACTCCACACGTCATGATGGTATTGGAACTCCCGGTGTCTACCAGGCACCACACTCCTCTCACCTCTAATATAGGTAACCAGCAGCTTTTACCTCTGATATTATAATTTACTAGCATGCGGTCACCCCTCGCGTGACACTATCCTCAGATCCTCTCCACAGCTTGCCACCGTCCTCTTTTTCCGCTGCTTCTCCGCCCTTCTCGTTTTCCCGGCTAGCTGGGTCATCTAGTTCTTCCTCTATCTCAGTGGTAGCGGATTCTTCTGAAGCATCTCCTGACGACTCACTCCTCCTTGACTGCATCTTTCTTCTCCTTAACCTTTGAGCGTTGATCTCCATCGGCTATATTCGTTGTGAGTATCTTCTCGAATACATATAAGGACATTGCCTCACAATGTGTCCCTCTGCCCTGCACCATTTTTTGCGGGGACACTGTGCCACCAAGTGTCCGCTCTTCCCACAACCATGACATCTCCTGCCTTCTTTCCGTTGGCTAGCCTTCGCTCTATTTTGCCCTGGTCTTCGTTCCGCTCTTATTTTCATGACTTTCTCCCGCTGTATGCGGACTCTCTCCTTTTCCAGGCTGTTGGTGTACTTCTAGGCCTCTTATAGAATACTCTATTCCATCTGGGTTCCTCCACTTCTAACCGGGTTTCCTCCTCTCGGGCACTGGAATCTACCATCTCTTGAGCATATTCAATAAATGATGGGTAAGCCTTCCTCTTCTCTGTTTCCTTAGCCAGTTGCACCTTCAGTATAGTAGACAAGAAGGCCATCTTAGATTCTACCTCTGGAATACCTGCTGTTTCTCTCATCTTCTCAGTAATGCGGTTATAGTGAGCTACGAGTGTTGCAGCATACTGTCTGTTTGACTGCCATGAAGATTTCATCTCCCAGAACATTTGAAAAATGTCCTCTTCTGTAGTCCACCTGCTGCCTCCATACACCTTCTTCAGCCTTTCTTTAACTCTTTCCCACAGTGTCTCTTTGTCCGCCTGGATGTGGTTTAGGATGCTTCTTTTTACCCTGCATACTAGAGCCACCTTAAAGGCTTCTGCGTCTCCAGCATTGATAAGGTTTTCTCCTATCTTTGCATCTATCCTCGCCATCAGACGATCTCCACCCTTTAAAAATGGTACAACTCACCCACTTCTCCTGTGAAGTGCTCAAGATCGGATACAGCCTTCCTAAGGTCCTGTGAAGTGGATACCCTGATCTTCATCCACTCGATCGCATTTGCGTGTGCCGCGGCTAACGTTCCCTGCGGTAATGGAGGAATTTCTGGTACATTCAGAGGGGCCGCTGGCCTTAACTGCACTCCTTCCGGCATCCTTGTGAATTTTTATCTGACCGAAAAAAAAACGTACCTCTGCACTCTTAACGGGTTTCGGGTTTCGGCACCAGTTAAGCATGGTGGACTTAAAAAAAAGTAATAGGTTTATGAAATAAAACGCATGAAGTCGGAATCAAGAGTGGTTTATTGTTCCTTCTAATCCTCTATATATACATTCTGAGAATGTTTACATCAGTGCTTTTAGTATTAACGCTACCTCGTGGTTCACCAGCCATATACCTCCAGTAGCCATACACCTGAGAAATACCTCCAGTAACCAAAGTGAAAACTTCAGAACCAGAACCTCAGGTAAGTCTTAGAAAGATATGATCGAAGAATCGCCTTTCTTTACTCCAAACCCCTACCAAGTGCTTCAAAATGACCGAGAAGTAATGGAGTCTGCAGCAATACCCAGAGAACCAAAGCCTCCTCCTATTTGTGAAAAATTTCCAGATTTTCTGCACCCAACTAAATAAAATCTGCTCTGGCAGTTATTCATGCCTTAACAGGACCAATGACACCAAAATAACACCTGATTCTGCTGAAACCTACCGAAAAATAGTGAAGTACTTTTAGAAACAAATGCGAATTTTCAAACTTACCAGCTGAGGCAGGAAAGAGCGTTACGAGTAGTGATAAGAACTTTACACTCCTCAACCCCCACTGGAGTTATTAAAGAAGAACTAACGACGCTTGGTTTCAATGTACGCCAGGTAACCAACGTTTTGAAGGAGGACAGGGAGCAGCCAGGATTACGAAATAGGATCCCACTACCATTGTTTTTCGTGGACTTGGAGCCATCACCAGGTATCGAAAAAATATATGATATCACAATAATATACTACACAATGGTGAAAATTGAGAAGCCATACCCCAAGAGAGACATCGTGCAGTGCAATAATTGTCAGACCTATGGCCACACAAAGACATATTTTCACCATCTGGCGCGTTGCGTGAAGTGCGGAACAGCACAAATCTGTAGAGTGCACCAAACATATACAAGATCCAGCAGTATGTGCCCTATCCTTGGAGGGACACCCGGCCAACTACAAAGGCTGCCAAATTTACAAGAATCTCAAAACCAGACACCAGAAAAATCGGATTCAAGATGAAGCACTAAGAACAAGAAGAGAGAGAGAGCCTTCCAGAATTGTAAACAATGATGTATCATTCTCCCAACTACTTAGAGGTAAGACTTCAACCGAAAAATGT